GGTAAACACTTGTTTCAAAATTAGAAAGGTACAAAAGGATAGGCAGAGAAGTCTCCTTCCATCCACCCCCTTTTATTAAGAGACAGGGTCTCACTCTGTGGCCCAGGCTGGAGTACAGTGGCACAGTCATAGCTCACTGTAACCTCAAACTCCTAGGCTCATGCAACCCTCCAGCCTCAGCCTCCTGAGTAGCTGGGACTACAGGTGCATGCCACCATGCCTGCCTAATTTTTGAAAATTTTCTTGTAGAGATGGAGTCTTCCTATGTTGCCCAGGCTGGTCTTAAACTCCTGGGCTCAAGCAGTCTCCCACCTTGGCCTCCCAAACCTCTGGGATTATACGTGTGAGCCACTGTTCCCAGACAACCATCAGCTGTTTGTCAATGTGGTCAGAATAAGGAAGACAGCCAAGATCACAAAGCCATAGAGACTCCTCTCTTATACATCCTCACTTCAGCATACACCCCTCTGAGAAACGGTCCCTCTCTTCCTTCTTGTCCTTTTCCTCCATGTAGGTCATTAAAGACTAAGGGAACATCTCTTGCAGGTTCTTCTTCCTCAAGAAGCATTCTGCCCAAATATGGGGTCAAAGGCACAGAGGCTAAGGCTTTCTGGAATAGGAAGCGATATCTACAGAAGTCAGAATGTTCCAAAGGAAGTGGGAACAGGCTTTAGTGTCCTCCTGATCAGGAGGTGTTTAATGGGGCTCTCAAGTAGACTTCAGAGGAACCTCCCTGACAGGGAAACAGCTTGCTGATTCCATCAGTAACAACACTGTATCCTCTAGTACTGATATATGCAGTTTACAAACAAATGTCTTCACTCAAACTCTATATGGCCTCACCCTTTCCCTCTCAATCCTTCCCAAAATACACACTCTCCCCAACACCGAGTGCTTCTTTTAAAATAGTCAAAGGTACTGCCATGGACACTACAATACTGAGATTCCAGGGTACTCTTGGTTTAGGGCAGCTGGAATTTGTTTGCTTTTCAAATGAGAGAGAGAGGCTTATTTGGAAAAATGACCTACATCTTTTTACTATAAAAGCTCTGAATTTTTTTTAAGAAAAATTGTTTCAGCAAATGTTTTTCATTTCTTTCTATAAAAATAATCTTTTTTTAATCTTTTAAAAGATTAAAAGAATCATGTAAACTATGACTTCTGCTGAGACAAGAATGCAAAGTGGGCCACTCTTGATTTTAACAGAGGATAACCTGGAAAAGGTAAGAGAGGCACCAAACATAGAAGCATCAGTTCAAATTCCTAAGGAGATGACATTGAAGACCTGCTGGACAAAGGAGAATGACCAATTGGGGAAGGATAGTAGTAAGAAAAGTGGAAGTTGGCTGGGAGCAGTGCCTCACACCTGCAATCCCAGCACTTTGGAAGGCTGAGGCAGGGTGGATCGCTTGAGCCCAGGAGTTCAAGGCCAGCCTGGGCAACATGGTGGAACCCGTGTCTACTAAAAACACACAAAACGTTAGCTGGCATGGTGGTACACACCTGTGGTCCCAGCTACTCGGCAGGGCTGAAGCAGGACTGTGGCAGGAGGACTGCTTGAGCCCAGGAAGTCAAGCCTGCAGTGAGCCAAGATCACACCACTGTACTCCAGCCTGAGCAACAAAGCAAGACCCTGTCTCAAAAAAAGTTAGGGCTAAGTCCCAGGATGGAGGAGTTTCCCAGGATGCTGGGGAAAACTAGGGAAAGTTATGGGCAAACCAGGAAGATTGGTCTCCTAGGGCTGACTTGTCTTAGGTATAAGTCTAAATGTGTTGGTCACCATTTTTATTATGTAATTCCATGTATTCAGGTAATTGTGGGAGGGTATACCACCTTACATAATAACAATGAAATTAACAGTAGACCTGCTACCACAATACAAACCTAGTATGTTCTAAACACTATTAAATGCTTTAACATACGGTATCATCTAATTTTCACAACCCTGGAGTGTGGATCTCCTTTCACAGAAGAAGATATAAACTTGCTTTGAGGTCACACAGATAGTAAGTAACAGAACTAAGACCCAAACCCAGCTTTGTCTGACTCAAGAGCTCTCATTCCTTCCACTATACCAGGCCACCTTTTCTTTGCTAATTCGCTTCTGGCTGCCTCCAAGCCCCCATGCCTGCTAGAAAAAGACTCCTGAATGCTTCCTTTTTCTATCCAAGTCAAAAGGTCATGCTCACTGCTCTTGGGTTCTTCAGCAATGATCTGGAGTAACCCTCTCACATCTGGAAATCCAGAGTTGCTTCTTGAAGACAACTCTACAAAGATGAATGGATCCCACCAAGGCATCTCTACCAGAAGCCAGGACATTTCTCTGGATTGCTCACAGCTTGGCATTTGGATCCCTTGCGTTCTGAGTTCAAGCTCCTTTTCCATATCTCTCTCCTGTTCTCCAAGATGCATCTTATCTTCCACTCTAGCCAAGTGCCTCTTCACTGATCCCCAGACATCTTGCAGCTTGCCTGCCTACTTCCACACCACTGCTTGGACTACTCCATCTTGTCCAGGATTCCCATTTCCATCTTTACTGTTGAACTCTCGCCCTTTCTTATCAAAGTAGAATCGAACGATGTCCTCCCCAACTGGTCCCCAACCTTAGCCCTGGGGTGGTACTCACATGACAGAACACTGGGCAAAGGACAGGTAATCCACCAGCACATCCAGGCCTTTGTTTTCATCATTGAGAAACTCCCGCACCCACCTGAAGATAAAGGAAACACAGTGAAAGGGGTCTGCTAAAGTGGGTCAAGGATGAGGAGGGTGACATACCTCTGACCCAACACCTCCTTTTCCTGGAACCTAGCACCAGGCTAGGAAGATTCTGAAGATCAAAACCCATGACAGACCCATCCATGGTCAGGGACCTCCCCGAGGCAGGGGAGCCAGGGATGGGGAAAGTACAGGCCCTTCTAGTACCATTTGCTTTATCATGAAGATGCTTTAGACAAACAAGCTCCCAGGTACTCCCTTCATAAGGGCCCTCCTTAAGGGCTCAATCATTTTCTGCATCCCTGCTTTACTGAGTAAAAGCATGTCTTACTCAGTGTTTGTTGGAAGAATTGAGGAAGTATCAAGAGCATTTACTACAGGCCTGTGTGCAGAGCTGTGCTTGACCAAAGCCAGCAAGTCTCTAACTTGACTGAAGTCTCAGTCAAGACACCAGCAGGAAGGGTCAAGGAGAGCTCTGGAACTCAGGCATCCTGGGGCAAAGCACTCTCTATCAAGCTTAAGGAGAGCAGTTTTGGAAAGCAGTGAGCAAACGGAGATGTATAGGATTCTGTATTTAGTCACTCCAAACCACAGAGGGCTTGGGGGATGATCAGGAACTCAAGGAACTCCAGGATGTCTATGACCACTCAGAGTCAAGCCAAGGACTTGGGCCCCCCTCAGCCAAGAAAGTAGACAACAAAGCACCTAGGGACCATACCCCAGAGCATTTTTTTCCCTTCTGCTTTCAGTCCTTTTGGGCTGAGATATTCCTGGAATTAAAGTCAAGGGCGAATCTAGGGAACTGTGTGTTATAGACAGGTTCATTCCATAGCACAGAGACATAAAACACTCAGGATGAAACCCTAATCTAGAGTGCTCTACTCCTTCAGAATTCCTGGTAGTCTTTACAGGAAAGCTGTCCCCAAACTGCCCTGCAGAGCCTCTTCTCCCCAACAGCTGGAAAACCAGCGCCATGTTGGCCAGCCACACCCCAAGCTATGAAGAGACTCTGGAGCTACAGCATCAGGCCCAGCTGAGATTTGGCAGCAGGCTCTGGCTGAAGCTGACTGACACCGGAGCTGCCTGAAGTTAGCTTCCTCTCTGGGGGCCAACAGGCCTCCCGTTTCCTGTCTGTCTGCTCTCCAGCTCCCCACCCCCTTCTCATTTCCTGTCTGAGTCTATACTGCTATTTCGGGATCTTGACACTTTGAGGAGAGGTTAAAGGGTGCTTAGGCAAGGCAGAGAAACCAATACAAACCAGGGAGAGAGGAGGAGCTGGAGAGGCTCTGGAATCCCACTTCCCAGGCTGCCCCTCTCTAGAGCCTGAGTTCCCATCTGCTGCTCCTACATACCCAACTTCTGTAAGCCCTGGGGCTGATCGGGCTGTGACCAAAGCAGGATCCTCCTCTCCCCACCCTGCCCTGGGTTCCTTTCACCCTGAAGCATCCCCACGCCAGCCTGACAATCTGACAAACTCTTCCTGCCCAGAAATCCAGGAAAGATCCTTGTCCTTCCACATAACTCTACCCAGAGAAGCCGCAGTTCAGATGGCAGGCATGCCTAAAATGCCAGGCACTGAGCTATTCCCTGGGAACAAAGGACCAGGTCCAGGACCTCTAACTTGTGTGCCAACTGCCAAGAGGCCCCAGGCCTGGGAACTACGCTGCTCTGGACTTAGCTCCTGGCCAGCAGCCAACGGGGCAGGCACCAGGTAGAGGGGGCAGGCAGAAGGGACTGTCATATACTGCTCTGTGGCCTTCTCCCAAGAAAAGTACACCCAGATCCTCATATGACTTCAGCAAGACTTAAGAAAATAGGGCTGCGTACCAGTGGCTCCACTTTGGGATATCAAAGCAGGAGGATTGAACCTAGGAGTTCAAGACAAGCCTAGGAAGCAAGGCTAGACTCTGTCTCTACTAAAATAATTTTTTTTAATGGCCAGGCAGGCTGGGCACAATGTCTCATGTCTATAATCTCAGCACTTTGGGAGTCCAAGATAGGCAGATCACTTGAGCCAGCCCATGAGTTTGAGACTAGCCTGGCCAACAGGGCAAAACTCCATCTCTACTAAAAACACAAAAATTAGCTGGGCATGGTGGCACACGCCTGTAGTCCCAGCTATTCAGGAGGCAGAGGCAGGATGGTTTGAACCTGGGAGGCGGAGGTTGCACTGGGCCAAGATTGCACCTGGGCAACAGAGCTAGACTCCGTCTTAAAACAAAATAAAATAAAAAATAAAATAAAATGGCCAGGCATGGGCGTGTGCCTGTGCTCCCAACTACTTGGAAGGCTGGGACAGGAGGATCACTTAAGCCCTGGAAATTGATGCTGCAGTAAGTCATGATCACGCGACTGCACTTCATCCTGGGCAACACAGCAAGACCCTGTCTTAAAAAACAAACGAACAGAAGATACAATAGCTGAGAGGGACAGAAGGGACCTATGGAGGAATGCAGAGTGGTAGGAGGCTCAGGGTGGCAGGTAGTGCTCAGGGTTGCCATCGGTGTCATTCTTGTCCTTACACGCAGGGGCACTAAGCAGCCCCTGCCACTTTGTCCTTCCATGAAGGATTCACCAAATAAAGGAGGAGGCTTGGCCACATCTTTCTCAGTGCCTTGGCTTTCAATGTCTGGTTCACAGATGAAGTACAGAAGCCATACTCTGGCCCACAGAGCACAGTTACTGAGGCCAAGAACCATCCCTTTCCTGTTCTTTCCTGTGCTGTTTCCCTTGTGACTGCTGCTGCTGCTGGCTATACACAGGTGTCCCCTCCCTCTAAAGAACCCCAGGAAGGCTCGGCCTAGGGGTGGACGAGTGGGCCGCTGCTATGACAGGAGGGGAAAGGCAGATGATGTCATTTGGCTCTCTCTACCCCACTGTCAGGAAGCCTGGGCACCCCACCCCCACCTGGACCTCTACTGCTCACTCACAAGCACTGGACATTTGTGCCAGGCCCTCCATCAGGTCTGTATCCCTGCCTGCAGTTCTACATTATGTGTCCCTCACTGTCCTTTTCTCATTGTCCTTTTGCATGAGCACACATATGCACACATATACACACTTTCTCCCTCTCACTTGCATATACCTTTGCTGATTACAGTTTCATAACACTGAGGCCAATACCCTCTTTCACTGTACCTCGCACATTAGCCCTTTGCTTGTTCAGCAATTCCTGGTTTCCCACACAGGGACTTAAAACATGCAGCTCCTGGCCCCCACTGCCTTATATCTTTCCTGGTGCTTAAGGAAGCTTTTTCTGCTCATGAACTAAGACTGTCTTCTCCCAAACAAGCAAATAATCTTCCAGGCACCAAAAAGTCCAAATACTTACTGAATGGGAACTAGGTCTCAGCTACCCAATACACTATGTTCCCCTCACCCTCAGCCTTCTCTGGGCCTGGCTTGGCCCAGCACCAGGCCACAGGCAGACTCCAGTCTCAGCTGCTGTGGGAATGTCTTCCACTCAAAGCCACAGGCAGAGGACCCCAGGAGAGGCCCCAAGCTTGCCAGAAACATTTAGTCAGCAGCTGGCAAAGCTGAGGGGATGGAAAAGTCAGAAAAGAAATAGTCCAAAGCTCTGGGGAGCTAGAAGCTATTCAAGGGGCAACTCTGCCCCATGGCAGGGAAGATGAACAGGGACACCATCCTCAGAGGACACCAGATTCTGGGTGCCCAGCCAACAGATTGGGGCCAGGTGAAGAGGCTGCTGCAGCCAATCCAACTCACCCAATGTGGTTGGTGCGAAGAGAGATCTCCAGCTCCCTTAGTACTTTGGTTGACTCCTGAACCCTCCTCCTGAACTTCTGTAAAAAGGGAAGAAAAGGAGAGGAATACAAGAGGGCAGTTATAGACCTTCCCTCCATTACTGGCCAGCCACTCTAGGCCCCTGGCTACAGAACCCTGAAATCCAACTCCCATTGCTAAGAAACAAACAGATGTCCAATATCCAAGTCAAAGGGTTTGCCCCCAAACCCCACAAGACTACAAAGGGCAGCAAGATGGGGCCCCTCTGCCTCATACTTCACCTTCCGAGTTACACTGGGGTCCAAGAAGCTCTGGAGTTTCTGAATGTAAGTGTGGGGAGGATTCTTCACCTGGAATCGTTCCTGTAAGGGAAACACGCATATGCATATACACAAAGAAAACCAGAGACCTGAGGAGGGTACTGAGGAAGCAGAGCACTCACAGTGTTCAGTGTGAGGGGACTCAGCCTCTCAAAGCTGTCACCTGGCTCTAGACATCATCCAAACTTCAAGTTTCCTTCCTTGACTTATTATCCCCAGGTGTTCCCATCTGTTACCAGCTCTTCCTCCTCTAATTAGAGCACCCTGAGCCTAAAATGTTTTCCTATGTCAAAAAGTATTTTAAAAGTGTGCTGCTTGCTACAAAGATGTTGGAGATTACAGAGTTGTGAACAGCACCCAAAATAAAAATATACTTGATTGGGCTTGGGAAGCCATGGCATGAGGACTGCTTGAGGCCAGAAGTTTGAGAACAGTCTGGATAACATAGCAAGACTGCCTCTACAAAAAAAAATTTTTTTTAATTAGCCAGGCATGGTGTAGCCCTGTACCACATGCCTGTAGCCCTGGCTACTTAGGCTGAGGTGGGAGAATCCCTTCAGCCCAGGAGTTTGAGAGTGCAGCAAAATATGATCATACCACTGCACTCCAGCCTGGGCAACAGAGCGTGATCCCTCTCTAAGAAAAAAAAAAAAAGATATGATTGGGAAATACTGTTCACTGCCTGGCCAACTAATAGATATGGGTTAGGAAGGCCAAGGGGAGAGGAGCTTGGCCTTGTAGAATCTAGCTTTCTTAGCACTGAACTCTGCAGTTGGGACTAGACTGGTTTTGCTGAGCTGACACAGCTCAGGGCTGCAAACACTGCTTCTTGCCCAGACCCCAACAATCCAAAGCAATCTCAAATACTGTAGGCTACTTTCAGCAAGGTCATCCCTTGATTCCCTTCTACAAAGGGCATGGGACCACACCCTACTTTAGCCCAACCTCTTCATCTGACCCAAAAGGAAACTGAGTACCCCTTAGCATTCTGGTCCTATTAGGGCTGCCACCACCAAGATATCTGAAAAGCTGGTGGGTGGAGGGGTTGAAAAATGTCCAATAGAATGATATAATGTTAGAGAATAGGACCTAAAAACAAATGAAAGGAAAAAAATGAAAGGTCTGAGAAACAGGTGAAATTATCTGACCTAGAAAATACTGAGAGATCATCAATAAAGAACCTCAATGCCAAAGGGTTACTATTCTCGAAACCCCTAGCAGGTGCTAACCAACTCCTCTTAATGCAGAACACAAGGAAATGGACCTTTGGTGGAGAAGGGACTTGGACTAGGATCACTGAAGCATAATCCTAGCTTATGTCAAGCAGCATGACCTGGGGAGGCAGTGGAACAGAACAGTTGGCACAGACTTGGCATCTGCTTGCCTGAGCTCAACTCTGGCTTCATCACCTTCTAGCATTAGGCAAGTTACTGAGCCTTGGGTTCTTCATCTATAAAATGCAACACTGCCTTCCACAGAGGGTTTTGTGATGATTACATGAGATATTTCAGTATGTGCAGAGTACTTGGTCCATAACAAGCACTCAATAAACGTTAGCTATTATGATTTCACTCAGAGCCTGAAAAGAAATAATAAAATTGTATATAGCAAAGTGCTGGGTAAACATACTACTCACACTCTACCAGATACTTCCATCTCTACCGAGGTGTAAAAAAGTAAAAGCCAATTTTCCCAGCCCTGCATACAGGCCTGGTCTGAGTTCACAGACTCATGATATTCAACTGCATGCAGGAGAAAGAACCAGGTCATATGTATCAGAAGATTTTCAACTCTGAGCAAAGTAATGATTTTTATTCTCTTCCAGCTCTAAACACAATTCATGCAGGGAGAGTTTCCAGACCTTGACTCTTCTGAGATTTGGGAACAGACATCTAGAGCCCGGGGCTTCTCATTCCTAGAGGCCCTGAGATAATGACAAAAACCCTATTTGCCAGGGCTAAGACAGAGTGTGAGATCAACAGTCCTTTGAGTACCCTGCCAGGCATAGCCTTGAACCTGCACGGCCAATACTATACCCCAGATCTACACAAACCACCTTCACACTATTGCCCATTGGAATAAATCAAGACAGCTCTTTGTGGGAGACAGAGGGGAACTTGGCCTCCTGGCCCTGTCTCTGCTATGAGAATCCTCTTGGAAAAGAAAGTAAACACAGATGAGGCCAAGCTTAGGCCAGGGTTTCTCAAGGAAGTCAAAGCTGCAGTCAATGCCTTTGGCTCCACAGCCTTAGCCAGCCCAAGACATAGCTTCCCACCTCCCTCCTCTTTCCCAAACCCCATACCTGGTCACAGATCAGATCCCACTTCTTCTCATTGTCATACTGCCGGAGGAGCCGGGCCTTGTCTGGAGGCAGATTCATGGAGCTCTGAGGAGAGAACCTGAGTCAACCATGCTGAAACCTCCCCTCATCTGGAAAAGAGAAAGACTAGACTGCCCACGCCTTTCCCGTCCTGGGCCCTCAGTCTTCACCCTGACACCCTGTCGCTGATAAGACAGGCTTGGAAAGGTGGAACAGTCCTCCAGCCTTCCCTTCCTATTTAGTTGAGTTTGGTTGAGCCATGTTTTCCAAACCACTGGTCATGGGATCAATTCAAATCACTGAATCAAGTCAAAATTAACTTTATTTTAAATGAAAATGAGATTAAAATAGAATAGAAGATACCAGAATTCATTGCAAGTAGGAAGTATAAATAATGCTTTGTGAAGCTTTAGTTTCTATTTTATGTATATACACAAATATGTCATATACATACATCATGCCATAAAATGTGACGGGGAACATGAGACAGGTCAAAAAATTTGAAAAGCCACCAGGTTAAAGCAGCAACTTTTTTTCAATTTGCTTTTCCCCCATAACCTGAGAGATGGGCAACCTGCCTACACCATGCACTCCCATGGGTGAATCCTGAGCCACCCACAACCTATGTAGATGCTGTAACTCTGACCCTTTTGCCCCATCAGCATACAAATAAATAAGAAGAACATTAGCATGAAGATAACCACTTAAATTTTTTTAAGAAAAATTTTTTTTGGAAAAAATTCACAGAAGTACAGGACTTTAATTATTAGTAGCAAATTACTTATGACACATTTCCCAATTAATTAAGACACAGCAAAGCATCCTAACCCCTTGGCAAGACACTCTAATATAGGCTATTTGAAGGACAGCCCAGGAATCATTTTATTTTGTTCACCACTGTTTGGTGACTGAATAAGGTATGAGACAGTGAGTGAGTGAAGCCTAAGGCATCCATGGACTAGCCCTACCCATGACAGGAGGCTACGTTCCCTACCTTTATCCCCATCCAGCTAAACCTTTCTTCTTATCAGTCTGGCTGTTTTGTTCCAGGTCACGGCCCTTACCTCTAAATGCAGTCTGGGCCAGACGCAGTGGTTCACACCTGTAATCCCAGTACTTTGGGAGGCCGAGGCGGGCAGATCGCTTGAGGCCAAGAGTTTGAGACCAACCTGGCCAACATGGCAAAAGCCCATCTCTACCAAAAACAGAAAAATTAGCTGGGCGCAGTAGCGCACACATATAATCCCAGCTACTTGGGATGCCAAGGCACAAGAATTGCTTGAACCTGGGAGGCCGTGATTGCAGTAAGCCAAAATCATGCCACTGCACTCCAGCCTGGGAAACAGGAAAAGACTCCATCTCCAAAAAACAAAACAAAACAAAACAAAACGACAAAAAAGAATAGGCCAGCCGCCATGGCTCATGCCTGTAATCCCAGCACTTTGGGAGGCCGAAGCAGGCAGATCACGAGGTCAAGAGATTGAGACCATCCTGGCCAACATGATGAAACCCCATGTCTCTACTAAAAATACAAAAGTTAATCGTGGCACATGCCTGTAGTCCCAGCTACTAGGGAGGCTGAGGCAGGAAAATTGCTTGAACCTGGGAGGCAGAGGTTGCAGTGAGCCGTGATAGCACCACTATACTCCAGCCTGGCGACAGAGCGAGACTCTATTTCAAATAAATAAATAAATAAATAAATAAATAAAATAAAGGCAGTCTGACACTTTATTCGGACCACCGTACCTGCTCTCTCGTACTCTTGAATCAAATATGATTCCCCACCCACATGATTTCCCACAAATTTAGCTTCTTCCCCAGCATACTGTCAGCCACCTGGAAGGCGGCCTCTTATCTTTCTCTCCTTTAGCTACTGTTCAAGATCAGCTCTAACTCCCTGGTAACCCAAGCACGACCACCTCATTTACCTCTGCCCAATCCTTGGCATTCTCATCCCTGGGGACACAGACTGTGTGCATCCAGGGTCCTCAAGGAATCATACAGGCCCTGCATTATTCCAAAAGAAGCAAACAAATCCTAGAAGGAGGTCCTCCAACTTTCGATGGAACCAAAAGAAAATCCTTAAACATTTACTCTATCATATTATCTATTTATTATATAACTCAGATATACTCTTAAACCAGCTGTATACTCATCTAGACTCTGAAGTGCTGTGTCTATTCTTACCATCCCAGCTCCCAATATGCATCTAGTGGGGGCAGTAAGGTGACAATAAACCTACGGGCAAGAGGTCCCAGGTCTGAGCCCAGCTACTGGCTGGAAACGAGGTCACTATGGTTCAAAAGGGAAGTAGGGTTGAAGTCTTCGGTTGGAATTTATACATGTAAGAATTTAGGACCATAGATGTGGGGCAGGTGAGAGAAACAAGGGGAAGAGAATCCCATACCACACCTCTCCCCATGGTTCCTGCTGCCCCATGCATCTGCCTGAACTTCCACAGGAAAGTGAGGCTGAGTCCTCCTCACAGTCTATGTAGTATGGATGGCAAGATGGTCAAACACAAGCCTGGAATGTTCTCTCTGAAACTACTTTGCTAAGGGCCAATCTTAGCCTGTGTGGACAGCATGACAAGAGCAGGGGGCCTCAACAAAACAAGGACCCAAAGGTCAACCTAGAGCAGGTCTCCTAACTCAGCCTAACTGGGGCCAGGCTGCTGCCAGCTGAACTCAAGACTGAAATGAACAGAAGCAGTACTCAGGACTGGTCCTGGCTCTGTGCATATCCTAAAGACATCACTGCCATCTGATCATTTCTCCCAAGTCTGTGCCATGAAAATAGTTTTCTATCGTCTCCCCTGGAAGAAAGCTGCTGGAAGAGGGGCAGGAGCAGCCTGTCACTGCTGTGGCAGACACTGCATCCTGTCTATGCCAGCTTCCTCCCTCAGCCACCCACTGTCAGCTACTTCTCCACCAGGTGAACCGGTGAGGAAATGCTTGGTCCCCTCGGTTTGAAAAACTGGGCAAAGTCACCCCCTTGAGTAGTCCCAGTCTAAAAGCATGGAGAGGCACAGCAGGGACCTGGTCAAACTCTAGATCCCCAGGAAGGAGGGGCTCCAAAGTATGGAGACAGGTTGTAGAAGCATGAAGCAGCTCTGACCATAGCCATAACCTCCTGTCTAGAGCTTTGGGTGGCACTTTCTTGACAGTGGCCCCAGACTTCTCTGCTTCTTCTGCGCTGAAGCATGACAGGGAAGGAGATGGGTAAGGGGAATTACACCAAGCTGCAACATTCTCAGAAGAAATGGGTCACTGGCTACCAGTGGGAACCACCTGCCAAGGGGGTATAAACCACAGCCTGGCCCGGACAGTTATGTTCTCACTAGACAAGGGCATCAGGGCTTCTGCTTCCATCTGATAACGTGTGTGAGTCTGGCAAGGCTCCAATGTCCTGAGGAAGCCACCCTGCCCTTAGGAATGACAACTTCCTGAGTTCCGGGGACAGCAAAGGAGCAAACTTGACACAGCTCCGGTCTCAGTCAAAGATTTGTTTCCTTGACATTTTTCTTTGGTGGTTCCACAGAGACCGCAGGCTCCCAAAAGGCAGAAGCTGATATAAGTTCTTGTTAACTCCTCATTGAGACTCTTGCTGAGCAGAAAGGAAGCAGTGGCTGTCTTGGAAAGGAGAGGGCACTAAATGTGGGTGAAGTCAGAGGGCCCAAGATCAACTTTGGGCACTTCAAAGTTACTGAGCCTTGGTGAATGCATCCATAAACTGGAGATAATCTCACTACTTTACAGAGTTTAACTGAGGATTAAATGACAAATATTTTATGTCTCTGTCTGGAACACTGTGGGTGTTCAACACAGTCCCCCTCTCCTTCCTCCTAAAAATCTTGTGTAATGTTCTGATGTCCAAGGGATCTGCCCTCTTGCTCCTAGGCTCTCTCTCTGCCTCCATCCTACCTTCAGCAGCTGCTTCTCAACACTGACTACAGAGCAATCCTTTATCCCTTCACTGATGCTGCTCTGGCTTCCTCTAAGACTAGGCAGCAATTTCTATCCTGAGGGGCAGGGGACGTGGCAGGAAACTCCAAGGAAGGAGTAAGGGAGGTAAGTCACAGCCAAAACAGTCACAATAGGAGATGTGAGGAAAAGGAGATGATGAACTCAAACTGAAAGCAATTCTGGGACTGATTCCTAAATCACTGGGAACCGGCAAAAAGTCTAATAATAAAAACCTATAAAGGAAAGAAGCTGAAAGGCGTGGAGCTGGTGCTTCTCCAGCAAGGCTGCTCTGGTTTTACTGCCAGTATGAGGCCAGGCAAATCTCCCTGCTCACTGGGGTCCACATAAGCAAGGGTCCAGTACCCCCAGGAAGGTTTCCTAACTCTCCACCTGACCCCTGACAGCCTCACTCAAGCCAAGGAGGAGAGAGCAGCTCTGGTGGCAGAGGTTCCCTTCCCTTTCCTGCTCTGCTCCCCCAGCCCAGTAAGCCCCTCCTCATTTCCTTCCCACTGCAGGGAAAGGGAAATGCCGGTGGGGTTTGGAGTTTCCTTCAAAGCTGTGAACTCTGCTCTGGGACTCGCCCCTACTCTGACAGTCTTCTTGAGCCAGGCCTGGGGAAAACCCAACAAACAGATAGGAACCACCAAAAATTCCCAACTGTTTTTTTTTTGGTCGTAGCCAATCATGATAAATCTTAGGAACAGAGACAAAAATGGCACAGCTTCTTTGAGAAGCTGGGAGAGAAACATTTGTAACGTTCCTGGGGAAAAAAAAACTGTGGACGCTTTAGGGAAGCTCCAACAGGGGCTATTTGTTTTGAGCAAATACAGAAAGTGAGAGGTAGTTTTATTAATGTTTTCCCTCTTGAACCACCTCCCACCAGGTTTCCTATGGCTGTCTTCTCCCAAGTGTGGCAGCCCCAGCCCCCATGCTCAGCCTATGGGGATGGGGAGTCCTGAGAAACTGAATCTAGAACTGCCCCACAGATGAAATGAGTGGTGTCCTGGGCACCACATGCTTCTCAAAGTGCTGCTGAGCCCCTGGCCACAGCTCCAAGTCCTCCCTAGCATCCATAGATCAGCCCTTTGAGCAGATGTGGAA